CATTATATTGAGCACCATCCCAACCTCGCTCCCGATTAGCCGTTAGATATGGGAGTTATGGGACAGGGTATAGCATCCTTAGAAGAATCCTATCGGGGGGGGGGGTCACAGTGTCACACTCTGTTGCTAGGCAGGAGGAAGGTGTTCTGAACAAAGCCTGGTATTTGAGGAAGATTCTGGGTAAGATAAAGAAAGGAAGACTTATTGGAGGAGGACATTCCGAAGGAGGTTGTATTGACACCGCCATTACACATCACGATGACGTGCCCTGTGCTGAACAGCCTGTACGAAACGTACTGAAAACCAATACGGGTCCATGTTGTCATGAGCGCTCCGCACTGTTATTACCCTCTTTCGAGTGACGTAAGTGAGACGACTCGTGCGGCTGTGGATTATCTTGTACAAGAGCTCAGGTAATCGCGGAGTGTGCCCTCCAAGATTTTCGTTGTTGGTGCTGTCAAACATCCACTTTTCATCGGAAGGTATAACCGGCTTAAGATTCTACGACAATGAATGATTCAGAAACCCGATCGCAGCAAAGCGTCCACTCGAGCTTCATCAAGCATTTTCTAAATGTTGCCTCTAAAAATACTGCTTATGGAACGCACCGTTTTCCCTTTTGACTGTGCTTTTTGGGGATAATTCGAACTGTCTCTCCTAGGCAGAGCTGAACTGTCTGAAAAAAACAATTCATCCTTCGCTATAATCACTTAGAGGTCACACATGCGGTCTTGGCGCACTCGTCCTCAACGTGTGATGTCATAACACATCACATGACATATTCTGAACTACCTGCCAATGCGATATGTCGTCACTGGTATGCCCTAACACGCACACTCCACATCTCAGAGATGGAGAGGGCGTGGCAGCGTAGTTCATTTGAATGTTGCGGCGGCTGCGCTTTGGTGGTACTATGCCTCATTGGGACGCCTACAATCATGACTTTCTTCAGCACAAGACAGGATGACACTTGCCAGTCGAACGGAAATGTCGTACGAAAAACGCATCGTACGCCATGCTCGAACAAAGTATGAGCCCTTCTTATTTGCGGCAAATGGAGTGCAATAGATTTTTATCGCCTAGCACTAATCACCGCATACCACTGCTACCGCGAACTGCCATAACATCGAACTTCAAAAGTGCTGCAGAAGGTGTCATTTTTTGTTCTATCCAACATACAAGAGCGAAGAAATCGATAAAACGACATAATTGTGTGTCTGCAAAACGTGCCCAAGGCTGCGTTCGCACTTTGCGGCAGCGTCCTCCAGCCTCTACCAGCATCTCCAGGGCTAAGTACAGGTATCAATATAGCGTCTACAGCGTCTACCAGCGTCCACCAGCGTTCACCAGCGACCGGGAGTAGAGAGTATGGGGAAAGTAGGAGGGTAGCAAACAGCTGAATTAGGCGTCGTGAAATTGCAGCGGTGTGCAGCAGCATCGGACAACTACACTACACCGTACCCTGAACTGCATAATTCTAATGGCTTTAGGCAGTTATGCAAGTGCGGTTACACACACACGCAACTTCTAACGCGCCTCATCGGACTGTTTGACTAGCCCCCTACTTCCGCATATCTCTAGTCGCCCGTCACTGGTGAAGCGCTGGTGAAGCATGTACCTGGTAGGAACAATATCGCATAGTCTATACTTTCGCTAGTCGCGCTGGCCGGGTGCTGTACGGATGCTCGTAAACGCTTCCCACTGTACGCCGTGTACCGCCCGCGTGCGCAGAAAAGTTATGAGCGAGCTCTCAGTTAGTTGTTGAGTTGACGGAGGTCGCGAACTTGCGATGACTTTGGCGGCGATCTAAAGATTGAATGACGATGCATCAGAATTTCGTCGTTCCCAGCTCAGCGTTCACCAATTCCAGGTAACAACTGGTTCGCCCCGTGCGCGGGCCGTGCACTACGCCGCACCCACAACGGCGGCATACTGACGATGTCCTTTTCACATAGGCAACAGGCGTGGGAACATCCGTTAGCCACGAGTAGACAGCGAATGACTGGCGGAGAGACGCAGCGCTACCTTGCTGTGCGTCGAGTCGACTAGCTAGGAAATACTCTGCTGGTTCGCACTGACAGGACCAACGACACACACTTGGCATCGAAAGAATGATGCTCAGAGTTTCCCGTTACACAAAAAGTGAGCCAGGGGGCCTGAGATTTCGCACTCCAGCGGCGATGCAATACCAGGATGAGCCACATTTCGAAAGATTTTATGATCAGATGGGACGGACACCTTATTTGATTTGATGATGACGGCTGGACCAAAGCGTTTGCGGACTAAATTTTCGAGATTCAAGTTGGTCATCTTAATCCCTGGACGAAAGCTGACGCAGGGGTCAGACTCCCTAGCAAGGGCTCGAAATAGAGCACAGAGTAACTGTTGAGCAGCTCTGCCACGTTGCAGGGATGAAAGGGATCTATTAGTACACTGTTGAACAACGAGAGCAAAGGTGACCTATGTGAGTATCTGCCGCACTACTTTATGATTCTGGCACAGGAACTGATTCTCACGCTCTGAAGGCCAAAGACATGAGTGGCTCCATACATGCACCCATAATTTTTATCGACCGCAATGAAGAATCAGGCAACTCACCCGACATGGTTCCACCAATTGAAACTTACCGACCGAATGAGGCAGCGCTATCATCAATGATATCATTGAAATGTCTTTCTACTACACTGCACGTTGAAGTCATAAGGTACGATAATTTGGTACACGTTCTAAAACGCTTCCAGGGTATTACACAGTGGAAAGTGGCGATAAAACGGAGCGAAATGGTCAAAAACTTGCGAAAAGAGGCTTCGTTTTTGATGACTCGAAAAGCAATTTCGGACGAGTTTCCTGTGGGCATCTCGCCAATAACCTGCTACGGCTAGGTACGGCTGCACGTATGTACTCACGTATCCATGCAGCACCGCGGCCGCTTCATATCAATCTCTTCGCTTCATATTTTCCTTAGCAAAGGGAGCAGTACCAGCCTCGGGTACGGTCGTCCATTGGGCGGGCGGGCGCGGTGGGGTCGATATGTTGCAGCTTGATAGAGCCCTGTAAGCGTACTTTCCTTGGAAAGGCGCTACGCAGCGCCTGCTCAGGGACGCGGAATTCCATCCTGCCAGGCGTATTATTCCCACTCGCCTTGGGGATTTGCCGCGCCAACTGCCTTCAAATATCCTTTGTGATTCTCTTTCATTCGAGTGACCTTCTATGGCCTTAATCGTCGCCAATTTCAAAAAAATATCTTCGAACTCAACCAATTGGTTCCTTGGCAGCTCTGTCTTCCCAAAGTCCTCCACACATCTAGTACTGCTGAAGATGCCTCGAAGCATCTTCAGCTGTACTAGATGGGTGAAGGATGGGTTCGTTTCACAGGATGTAACCTGGTAAACAAGCGGAGGCGCACTGCTCCTTGATGCAGAACGGCTTACTTACACTTAATATCACCGCAGTTGTCATTAAATCACGCAGTGCAAGTCGCAATCAGCGTTCTCACCTGCGGCTTCCATCATTGGTTGTTTCCGTCCTGGAAATCATTTCTAACGATCGCCATGGCTTAAGCAAAGGCGAACCGACTCGAAACCGCGCTGCTCAGCGCTTCCCCCGACAGTCCGCAACGGAGACCTAGTGCATTTCGAAGAAACGTTGTGACGTCTATTGTAAGCTCCACCCGCCTCGGCCTCGTGGCAAACACTTCGCGCATTTAACGCATTGAGGACGTCTGCATTTGTCAGCAAGCACACATTATCACCAGTTGTATTTGTTGAAGCTTCTAATCGTCGTTCTATAAACTGAACTTTTGTGCTAGACGACTTTGCTCTTTCGACGCGACCTGCACCCCGTACGAAAACTGTCGTCCTTTTTGTGCGTCCCTATGCGTCAATGAAGCGATATCACCGCTCCAGTCAATTCCTCTTAGAATAAGGAGTTCGCAATAATGCAAGTGTTCATAGGCTCTTATCGGGATTATCCATTCACATCACACTTCATTTTCAGTTCTCATTAATATTCTGGCCCTTCTCCGCGGTAAATACTGTCAATTTTTTAATTTTTCATATTAAAGAACTATGATAGGGAGTGGAGTCGGCATCAAGCCCCTTGAAGTTCATCACACTGGCGTAAGTGACCGTTGTGACCCGAATAGGTGTTACTCTAGTTACTTTTTATTTTTTTTCAGGTAACGATTGGATGGGGAGCAGGCAGCAGATCCCTTGAATGCTACAACAAGGTGAGTGCTTCTTTTCAGGACCTGTAGTCTAGTACCATTCCACGAACTTTTATTCAGAGCACTCCTACCGAAATCAATGTACCCGGTTTCGATAACGGAAAACGTCTTCGTGTTGTGATTGTACCAACTACTGGAGGCGATCGATTTAATGCGAGTTTGTCTTTATCCTACATTTCCCCTTTAAGTCCTGATATCGGTGACGGTTCCACTTCAGATCAATTTCCGCACTCCATCGGACATTGCACTGCACTTCAACCCACGATTCGATGTAAGTACCAGAAGAAAGTCCACAGTAGAAGCTACTTTTGTTCTACCAGCTAGAAAATAGCGAGCTATATCGCAAGCGATGTCAGAGATCAGTTTTCCACACTATTCCGGCGACGTTTAGTCCGAAACTTCCGTCGTCAGCCCGCCCCCTATCTGATCTAATAGGTCTAATTGAAGGCAGGAGACCTGCTTCATGCCGTTGGCACTCGACTACAGTGGTGGTAGGGATGCTAAACAGTGGAAAATGTCGAAAAATGCGGTAAAGCTAAACGGTCAGAAATCAGCGAAAAGTTTCCTGTTATGTATTGCAGGGGACGAGAGCAAGCAGACTCAGGGCAAATTTGGATGAATTTCGAGCATTACGCAATTCATCGCCTCGATCCTTCTGGAGAAGCGGTCCTTCTGGAAAGGTGATTGTACATCAGACATCTAGAGTCTTTTTGAGTGCCCTATAGAGGTTCCTTCGCGGTGAATGATCTCACTTATCATTTGTTCAGGCGGCTGATTTCCCCTTCTGCTAGGAGTTTAGCCAATGAGTGCAGTCAAGCGGTTATTGGCATGATGCCGGGGAACTCGTCCGAGCTTGCTTTCTAAAGTTGTGTAGAACGGAGGTTTTTTTTTGCAGGTTTTTGATCGTTTGAT